ATGAATGAGACAGTCGTGGCACGGTGACTCCTCTCACTTCCTGTATGGTTTTTGAAGGAACAAATGATGTGAGCTTTACCTCCGATTTCCCTGTGCAAATGTGAACATGTTTTTGTTTGTTTAGCTTTGCCTGGTTTTGCTCTGCTTTAAGATATCCTGATTCCCATTCATGCTGTAAATCAGGGGATGCTCAGCTCCGTCCCAAACGTGACAAAGTGTTGTTCATCTTATAAAATCCTTGGCTGCCAGTGCTGCCTGTGTGGGGGTCACCAGCTCAGTGCACTGGGTCCGCCTGCATTTGTGGCCCTGTCCCTTGGCAAATATATAACAAGAGAACTTTGCCACTTCCGTTCACAGGTGGAGAACACTGTTAAACTAGCAAACTATGAAATGCAGCTATTTCATTTGTATAAGTTGTTAAAATATATAACATTGTCATGCTGTGTTGCAAACTTTGGTACAGCACAGTAATAAAAAGCTATTGTAAAAAATTATGTATTCCCCCCCCCATCATGCTTTTTTCTTTTTATCTTTTGGAGACAGAGGCTCACCGTGCAGTTTGGGGTGGCCTTGAACTCACTTTGTAGCCCAGGCTTGTCTTGAACTCACAGCAATTCTCCTGCTTCAGCCTCCCGAGTGCTGGGATTGCAGGCATGCACCACCACACTGGCTCCCACGATGATTCTTATGTCTGGGGAAGATGAAAAATTATTGATGCGTCCTTGTTGAAAGCTCTTGTATCCTAGTGGCTCTTGCTGCTCTTCCTGGCCGCTAACCCAGGGATCCCATTCTTTGCTTTGTGCATCAGAATCACCTGGGAATTTTAGAAACACAGATGCCCGGGCCCCTCCTTGACCTGGTAAATCAGGCTGCAGCAGGACACCGGGAAGCACTACCATTAAACCTCGCAGGTGGGCTTTCCCCAAGCAGAAGTCGGGGCCGAGTCGGGATGGAGAGCGCATTTCCCTCCTGTCTGAAACGTCCCTGGTGAGCACTAAAGTCAGGGTTCTTTCCATCCCCACCCCACCCCCGGCAGGATTTTATGAGCTTGTGCTAGCCAGCCGGTCAGATGGGAAGCTCTGAGCCCACTCTGGCAGCAGTCTGAGCTCTGACACCCACTCAATGAGTGGACCTGGGGGCAGTGATGCTCTCTCCAAAGAAAGCAACGAGGTCCAAAGAAAGGCCAGACTCGCCATTCGATATGAAGTTCAGATCCACAGCAAATCATTTCTTGTTAGTAGAAATATGTCCTGCACATTGCATGAGACAGAATTATATTCAATTTTGTGTTGCTTCTCTGAAATTCAAATTTCACCGGCAGTCTTAGGTTTTATCTGGCAGTCCTACTGGTGAGACTATTCTCTGGTTCTCTGAAACTCGGTTTCCCCACGGGGCAAAGGAGAGCGCAGTCTAGCCGGCCTCTGAGGGCCCCTGTGGCTCGGTTGCTGCGAAGCAGCGATCTCATAGCTCAGGCGGCCTTTCTCTCCAGCCACCAGGGGGCGCCCAGGCCTTCCTCATTTCCTGGGCTGGTCCCCCTGGCTCTGGGGGGCCATCTGGAAACCAGGCTGGACGCTGTTATTCAGAAAGGGAGAGGTGGGCATCGGAGAGTCTCTGAAGACAGGACCACGTCAGCCAGCTGCCTGTCCACATCATTTAAAGAGGGAACCGCTTGAGCCCTTGGAGGGCAGCCACTGGCCGGGGCTCAGATGGCTGATATGTGCCCTGCAGTCCTGACCTGGTCCGGGCCAGGGCCCCTTTGCCCCTTAGAGTACTCTTGTTTTTATTGTTGCTGTTTGTTTTGTTTTGTTTTTTGTTTTTCCCATTTCCAGTTGGATGTGTTTAACCCTTGAAGTCTTCCCGAGAAACCAAAAGAGACACCAGCCAGTCCCGAGCAGCCTAGACGGTGACAGTCCTGTATTGTTTCTCAAAGATGCAAGGAGTAAGAAAGGACAGGAATGGAGGGCCTGGGGGTGGGGAGAAAGAGGGAGCCCTCACAGTAAGGTTGAAAGAGGTAGGGGAGGAGGAGGAGGGGAGGATGGTGACAACTGATGAGCTTTCTCCGTGTTAGACGGCCAACTGCTAGGCGGGGACCATTGCTACCAGGATCTCCACCCAGCTGGGCGCTCTGTCCTCCCAGCAGCAGGAACGGGAGGGAGGGGTGCTCTGGGCTCTGGCTCCTTTGGCCTGGGCCCTTCCACTTTGCTTAAAGATGGCCCAAATGCCGTCCTCCTCCCCAAATGCCAGCTGCCCCAGGTGAGCTTTTGAAGAGGGCTCAGGGAGGGAGGGATGGATCTACTGGCCTGGGAGGTGACTTCAGGTGACTCATTTGGCTCTAGTTAGTACTGAATACTTTGTCATTAAGTTCTCCTCAGGACTGATTATGAATCCGAGGTCTCCAGGAGGGTTTCCTTCAGCAACAAACAGAGCCTGGGGTGCCCCACGCCTGCACAGCACCCTTCTTTTCATTGAGTGTGTATTTTTTTATTGTGTTTATCGTTAAGGTGTGTTTCTATTCTTGGTAAATGAAGTTGATCTTCCGGCTAAAATAATGATACAGGTTCTTTTGACTGTCAAGGGTTTTGTGTGTGTGTGTGTGTGTGTGTGTGCACACATGTGCATGTGTGTGTCTGTGTTCAGCTTTAAAGGCAGGGAAGGATAGATGAAGGGTTTGGAAACAGAACACTGCCTGTTGGGATTCTGGGTCCTGAAGGCCTGGTCAACTCTGCCCCAGACAGGAGACAGTAGAGGGGGTCAAAGTTCTGGCTTCCAGCACCCCTTCCTCACTGCCTCATTGTAAGACCGAGGCACCCAAGCCCGCTGTGCGTCAGAGGCGGGGGGCAGAGCTGGCGGGTGGAGCTGACCACCCGGGCTGGCCAGCCCCAGGTCTGCCTCTTCCATCCTTCACCCAGACGGCCAGGGTCACAGCTCCTGCCCTACCTGTAGTGACACCATTCGTGGTGTGTCATTTCCCATGACTGCTCCCTGCCTTTGTCACGCTATTACAGAGAGCTGAGCTGGGACTCAGACAGCAGGATGCCCTCGGGGGAGAGCCGAACAGAGGTGAAACACATCTCAGCTGGAGACCCATCTGTTGGAGGCCGGACCTCAAGATAAAGATGAGATGACCGGGCCTGTGTGCTTTCTCGAGGGACAGACACCAGGCCTAATGAAGCCTCCGTGGACATCAGTCACTGTGGTGGGTGACAATGACCTCTGGACCCATCCTTTCCTAGAAAAAGCTTTGTTCCTTCCAGGCACTCTGGTTACATGACTGGCTTTCCCCATCGGATCCATGTTACCGCAGCACCTGTATGTGTAACCTTACTGGTTGATCATGGCTGTAACCCACATTGTACCCACATGAGTTCTGCTCTGGAAAATTTCCCGACAGCACAGGGTCACTGGGCACCCCATTTGGGTCCCTCTTGCCTCTCAGGACCTGTGTCTTTCCCTCCTAATAAATATCTTCCTACTCTTTTTAACTTCCATTGGTCCTAGAATTTATTCTTTGGTCTTGAGAGAACACAAACTCAGAAGATCAGACATCTAACAGGATGGGGGAGGCGCTGCTGAGCGAATGGATGCCCAGCCAGGATGTGGGCCCCGGGGAGGTGAGGCCCCATCTGACTTCCTCAGGAGACCGCAGGCCGCAGGGACCTCAGAAACATGGAGCAAGTGAGCCCAACAGCATGACAGTCACCTGCCTCCCGCTGTCTCTGCCCAGAGCAAGGGATGCCGAGGTGGGAGCATGCTGGGCTTGCATCCTCCTGTGTCAGGACCTAATCCTGACACATGCTGGCCAATCCTCTTCCTCCTCTCTCCCTTTAAGCATGAGAGAACACCCAAAGTGAGTTATTTTCTTTTCTTTTTAGTGATTGTATTACTTTTGTCATCACAAATATAAAGGGGAAAGTCTCGCCTTGACATCTGACCACTGTGTGGCCCACTGCACCTGAGCACATTTTTGGCCCTGAAATGTCACGGTAGTATGACAGACAAGCTTTGGAAGGGGACCAAGAGCTAGGGAGGGGGCAGAAGGGAGTAGAAGGGGGTGAAAAAAATTACGATGTGCTATGTGCACGCACCAACTCCACATGATGAGTAAAGTCATGTACTGCACAGGTATACTAATAAAATTTCTTTTTTTTTTTTTTTTTGTCTTTTTCCTTTTCATCGGTACCAGGGATCGAACTCTCAACTGCCTGCTTGCAAGGCAGGCGCTTATGCTGCTGAGCTAAATCCCCAGCCCCATAATAAAATTTCTTAATCAGGTAACCCACAGATTTCTGATGAGCTCAAAGAGATCACCCCATTCCACCAAGAGCGCTCAGCTGTCAAGCGCTTGAAACACAGGCAGTGTACTGAGGAGCTGAATTTTAAATCTAAATCCACTCACACTCCTTTATGGAGCTACCATAAAGGACTGTGGGGGCCAGAAATGCTAGGCTCATAGCAAATACACAGTGTATCTAGTATCACTCATAAAACTCCCCCTAGCGACTAACCAATATTGCAACTAATACAGTACTACAATAACGTTAGCACTCTGTTGTACCTTAACTCATGATTGCCCGTACTCTTCCTCTGTTGCACCTATGACAGCTCACAATTTATATTCAACTGCACAATGATTAATGTCTCCTTTCCTGGAGTGTAAGCTCCGAACCTACAAAGGCTTTGTCTGTTTTGCTGCAACTGTGTCCCCCGTGTGATACAGAACAGACACAGAAGTATTTATTGAATACATGAATGAACAAATGTACGATGAATGAGATTAATGAAAGTGCAATAATGAAAATGGGCGGGGCCAGAGGTAATTCAGTTCAAAAAAACGAGCTGAATTCGTGCTCAGAGGACGCCCACATCCTCTGTGTGCTGCCCTGGCACGCAGGTGTCCGGGTGATCACAGAGCACTGTTTGCGGTCCTGTGCACCCATGTCTTTGTGTGTCTCGGTAATAAAGTGGCTGAGACAAAGACACATGCAAAATCACCCGGGAAGGCAGTTTCTAAGTCATTACTTTTTATTTTGAAAGATTCGTCAAACTCCTCACTTCATGGAGAGAGCTTGCATGATTAATACGAAGCAGCTTTTTCATGAAATGCTTGGAGGTGAACGAGTTCTCAGCCTGTGAGATCTGACCATCCCAATGACTTTGATTAATAGGAGACAAAAGGGGGAAAGAAAAGGTGGAATATGCTAGAACATGTGTGACAGCCTTCCAAATATGAAAAAAAAACACAACCAATTCACCAACTCCACTTTCTCTTCATTACAACTTTCCAAGTCTCGCTCTGGCTTTTGGCTTTCGTGCCTGAAACAGCCTCCTGGCCCGTGGAGCCCCTGAGAAGAAAGAAGCCTGAAGCCACCTAAAGAAGTAGGGAGGGAAGAGACCCTGTGGGACATGCGCATCTACCCCGCAGAGAACCACTGGCCACGGCCCCCACAAGCTGGAACAAACAGCCTCGTGTGCAAAGAAGTTGCTCAGAAGAGCGCAGGAGGAAATGGCCAGGAGAGTCCACGCGACCAGAACAGAGCCCAGCACCTCCCTCTCCCCTCTCAGCCAAGCCTGCAAACAAGCCCTGCTCTCTAGGCCCTGGCAGGCGGGCTCTCTCCCCACCTCTGGGCCTGCAGTCCCAGAAGCCACGCTGTGTCCGTTACTTCCTTTGCCTCCCCGCAGCCGCCCGGGAAGACCCCAGGCAGCCCGAACCCTGTGAACTAAAATGAGCGCGAAGGTCTGGCTCGGTGAATGCGAGCTTCAAGCAGAAGCACAGAGAGAGTCTGAGGTGCAGAGTGTGCGAGGCAGGGCAGCGTGGGCAAACCGGCCCCGCAGCCGGGAAGACACGGGGCAGAGCTGCAGCCTGCAGCGGAGAGGGACAGGGCCTTGAGTTAGTGGGTGAGCCAGAGGCCTCTGCGCGGAGTTACAAGTGAGAGTGTCAGGACGTGGGCTACGATTTCCTGTTTTAGCACCGTTAATGTCTATGTTAGCACCTTATCTCCAGGCGGAACAACCAACCATCCAAACATTTTAAACTTTGGGGGGGTTAGGGGAAAGAGGACGGGAAGGGACAGGTCAAAGAGAGAGAATCCGGTGGTGCGGGTGGAGGCTGGCTTTAGATCACGAGATCCTTGTCGATGTCCTCTGCAAAGCAAGAAAAGACAGAATTTAAAACTGAGGCACTGCGTCCATGCCAACATGCTTACTGAGGGGTGGCCGGGTGCCCCCCGATCCACAGGAGCAGGGGCAGGAGCCAGTGACCAGCTCAGAGGGCCTGTCTTTAGGACATGAGGCCAAGTCCACTTCCTGCCGCCCCTCCCTGGCCTGCTGGTGCTCAGCCCAGAGCGAGGGCTAATACTGGAGGCAGGAGAGGGGAAGAGTCCTTCAGATGGACAGAAAAGAATCCAGAAGATGCCCAAGAGATGAAGGCCCAGCCAGACAGGGAGAGCAGGATACAGACAGACAGGCCCCACGAGGGACAGACATGCGGGCAGCCAGACAGCGCCCACCCTGTCCCACCCCAACCCCTGGCTGCTGCCTGCAGACACTCACGCTCCTTGATGCCGAAGCAACCGGCCCACTCCTCCAGGGCTATGTACTTGTCATTGTCCAGGTCACAGGTCTCAAAAAAGCGGGTGGTGCAGTGCTCCATGGGGATGAGGGGGGCACGCAGGGGGGCCAGCTCGGTGTGGGACAGGTACCTGTGGGGAAGAGGCGGGCGGCAGTGAGCATGCGTGAGGAACCGCACATACACACATGTGCACACATGCGCACATACACACACACACAAGTGTGAGCAGAGGGCCAGCAAGTCTGCCTTGTGGCACAGAAGGAAAGGTGTCCAGATCCTGGTCTTCTCTCTGCCTCAGACCTGCGGTGCTCTCCCTACAAGGGACTCTGGGAAACACTGTGACCCCAGATCTCCCAACCCCACCCGACCCACAGAAGGAGATGCATAACGTCTGAACAGGAAGGAACTCTCCCTTTCACTGTACTAGTGGGGAAACTGAGGCCGGGGAAGAGGCAAGGACAAAAGCAAGGTCACCCACAGCTCTGAGACAAGACAAAGAGGAGGAGGAGGAGGCCCTCCTCGCCAGGCCAGAGCATATTCCCAAATGCAGTCCCCGCATCCCCATCTGGAAGCTCCCTCCAGGGCCCCGTGACCCTCTGAGGTCTGATTGCTTAGCCCGAATTCCAGATGTTCCCCCGTGACTTCCCCATCAGCCACAGAGAATGGCTCAGCTGGATCCTGGCCACAGCCAGGGCCTGGGAGAAGACAGGCTGAGAGCTTCCCAGAGCCAGGAGAGCCGAGCCACCCAGGACAGCTTTCTGTTCAAGAGCAGGCCAGAAGGAACAGTGTCAGTTCTAGGCACTGTTAAGGTCCCTGGCTGGGCACCTCATGGACAGCACCACACATGTGTTCTCCAGCCAGCTGCCTCCGCAAGGCTGCTGCCCTGCTCTCCTGCTCACTGGGCTAGTGCAAGAGCCCTCAGCCAGGGCCTTGCAATGCAGTTGGGACCAATTCAAATCCTCCGGAACTCACGGGGCCTAGCTGGCTCTTCAGAACTGGCCTCAGAGTAGAGCTCAGACGTCTGGAGGGCTGTGCTGCTCCCACACTTTCAACTGAAGGACCTGAGGATACAGCTGTCCCACCCTAGCCCCAGCACTGCTGGAGCCGGTCCTAACCCTGAAGCTAATACATAACAGCCCAGCACTTGCAGACCTGAAGTGGTGTTTTCAGTCCCCCTGATGTCCGTCTTTGGGCTGGAGGGTCTCAGGGTTCCTCCTCACTGCCTGATGCCTACGTGTGGATGCCCCGGCTCCTGTCCCAGGCTCACTGTGGGCTCGGCGTGGGTGCAGCAGCTGCCACGAGGCTTTCTGGCCACATGCAGTGAGTGAGCTTCCCAGCCGTGACCCCTGATTGTCTACACCGGGGCCAAACCCGAATGGACCCAGTGGTCCCAAGGGCCCGGGATCCTACCCGTCAATGGGGTGCTGGTCCAGCTGGCTGAACTGCCAGTGCACAGGGAAGATGTACATCTTGTAGTTCTTCTCAAAGTCCCGGGCCAGCAGCTCCACGGGGTGGTCCCCGGCCTCCAAGCGCTTCTCGTTCTCGTGGATTTTCTTCACCTGTGTAGGGACAGAGACGCTGGTAACCAAGGGTTCAGGGCAGACTGTCCAGGCCACCTCTGAAAAGCTGGGGCAAAGCTTACAAAGCGGGGAGGGGCATAGCCAGGAGCCAGTGATTCATCGTTCCCCAAAGTGGGGGTCGGGAGGCTTCTGAAGGCTGCTCCTTGGAGCTACCCACATAGAGCTCACCTGGGCAGTGTGTTCACTGTAGCTTCCTGGGCCTCGCTTTGGAGTCCCTGCTTCACCAGGACAAAGTGGGGCCCAGGAATCTGCATTTTATCAGCGCTATGGGGTGCTTGATACGCTCATGGCAGTGTGAGATTCTTGGAAAAAGGGACAGGGTTGTGTGTGTGTCCCTGTCTGCCGCTGGGCTGAGCACAGTGAACACACCTCCTTCCCCTGGGGCTGTCAGAGTCTCAGATTTACAGCCCATGAGGAGTCTTCGAGCACAGTGAGGAACAGTGGGTGCTGGCTTCCGGGGGGACCCACGATAGGCAGGATGGGTTGGATCTCAGGCAGCCCTAGGCCAGCGGGCCGCACATGCAGGCGCCCTGGAGCCGGCTGGAAGGGATCCACTCACTTTCAGCTTCTGCTTCTCGGTCAGCAGGTTGTTGTTCTCGTCCCGTTCATAGAGGGTCACCAGGACGTTCTTGAGCCAGTCCCGCATGCGCAGGGGGAACTCGGTCAGCTCAGAGTCCAGGCAGGGGGGGATGTCTAGGGTCCAGAACAGCGGTGATCAGCCTGAGCTCCCGATCTCCCTTCCCCCACCACACCCATGCCCACTCTGTGCCAGTTGCTGCCCGGGACCACGAGCAAAGGTATTGGGAGATGAGCGCTTCTAAGGCGGGGAGGTGCGAGGCTGTGGCTGCTGCTTCCACGGCCTCGGTCCAGGCCCCACCTCCTGGGGACTCAGTTCACCCCCAGGGCCTGTGCCTTTCCTGGCGATGGCTCTGGCTGCGATCCTAGCAGAGATCAGCCCTCCCTGGTGAGGTCATTGCTGGGAGAGTAACACCCACCCCTGGGAAATAGAGGAATCACAAATTCTCAACCGCCAGAGCTTTCTTAAGAGATGAGGACTCCGTCCTGGCACTTTGAATGTGGATCCCAGAGCACCACACCTGCAGGACTCATCCCAGGTCCCTCATGTATGGTGCTTCACAGAGGTCAGCGTGCAGGGAAGGGACTTGCTCTGGGTCACGTAGGTGGAGCCTCACCAGGCACCTGGGGTAACTGCTTGCCTGGGGGAGGTGGAGGATGTGGTCCTCTGCCCTGCAGGCCTATGGAAACCCTATGCAGTCAGGGCCACCCTCCCTGGGCCAGGAGTTGGAGCCAGTGGGCAGTGCGCCTGGGAGTCCAACAAAAGCCACTTAGCAAAGGCTCCTCGGAACCCTCCTGGTCTCCACCCCAGGACCCCGATCCTCAATCCTCACACTTGTCTAATCTGCCCTGCCCATGTCACACCCTAAGCCCCGTGACCAGGAGAGTAAGGTGAAGCCCACCTAGAATCTTGTTCCCTGCCCCCTCCTCTGCAGCCTGCACACCTGAGGCAGGTGAGCAGTCCGTGGTGTCAAGATGTCCCAGAGATACGATGTGGGAATTGTCTTTGGGAGACAAGCGTGGCCTCAAGGTTGTAAATGACAGAGGATATGGACTAAGACGCCACAGCCAGCAAAACCTGCAGCTGCTACCACGAATGTCAAGCTGCACCAGGGCCACAGCACTGACTCTCAGCTTTCTAGGAGAGCGTGGCTGCCACAAGTCTCACAAGGTCAGGCAGGAAGCCGTGGAGTACAAGGGAGGTAGATGAGGGCTGCAGGGCATGCCCCTACGATAAAGCACTCAGACCAGAGTCCTGAGTCCATTAGAATACTTGGTAGGCTGAGGCTGCACAGCATGCATGGTGCTGAGGCAGGCAAGAGCTGAGAATGTCAAAAGGAAGTTCACAGACAATCATCTCGTTGTATAAAGGGGAACCCTGAGACCCACAGAGGGAAGAAATTGGCTCAAGATCACACAGCCCCAGCTGACCCAGCCAGCATCGGCGCAGTTCAGAGCCCTGACCCTGCACCGAGAGGCTGGCGAGGCCAGAGCGCGGACTCACATTTGCAAGGCCCGATGTAGTCCAGGTGGAGTTTGTGGCCCTTCTTGGTGCCCTCCAGGGTGCACTTGGTGGCAAAGAAGTGGCAGGAGGAGTCGAAGGTCTTGTTGTCATTACTGCACACCTGTGGGCCAAGCACAGGGCGTCCCCCTCAGTCCCTCTGTCCACTCAGAGATGGGGACACCAAGGGCCAAGCAAGGCCTGCCACATCCCTGGATCACACAGTCAGTCTGTGGCATGGCCAGGACAAGAAGCCACGCTGCCGAGAACTCCAGGCTGGTGTCCAGGCACTCAGACAGCACCTGCCGCTCTCAGAACAAAGGCACAACCAGGTCAAGGAGGGAGACATGGGACTCACCGGGGGTCAAGTCGAAGGTGGGGACCGGAAAAAGACAAGGGGAGCAAAGACAGTAGAGCACAACAGGCCAGGGAGCATTGTCCCAGGGAGCTGGCTGTTGAGGCCGGCCTTGGCTGGTACACGGGACAGGCTGGGCAGCAGGGCCTGCACTGTGGCCGAGCTGTCCCTTCCCATCCAGGGTGGCTCATGATGCCCACACTGTGGGTACAGCAACCAGCTCTGACTGGCTGAGCTGCTTCCCTGCTGATGGGCTGGAATCTTAGAACTCAGTGGACCCTGATCCAGCTCCACATCCTTGCTGAGTCATGCTTACAGAACATCCTTGCTGAGTCATGGCTACAGAACTTAGCACTGAGTACAGCTGCAGGCGGAGCACCAGAGTCTCGGCCTGTACGGCCTGCACCGACTCAGTGATGCTCACACACCACTGCTGCAGGAAAATTGCTGGGTACTGGAGACCATTGAACACAGAGGTGGGAGTTAGAGAGGAAGGAAGACTTAACAATAAACATTGAGCAACCCAAATGCCCATCAGCCAAGGAATAGACCAAAAAAGGTGTGTTTTATTGGATACAATGGAGTACTACTCGGGCATAAAGAAGGATAAACTGGAGACTCATATAGGTAAATGGATGCAACTCGAGACCATACTTGTAAGTGAAATAAACCAGACCTACACGTGTAAACACAGTATGATCAAGCCAGGAATGATGGCACACGCCTGTGACCCCAGCACTTGGGAGGCTAAGGCAAGAGGATCACCTTGAGTTTGAGGTCAGCCTGAACTGCACAGTGAGACTCTTAACTCAAAACAAAAACAAACAAACCAAAAAACCAAAACAAGCAGGCGTGGTGGCTCACACCTGTAATCCCAGCACTCAGGAGGCTGAAGCAGGAGGATCCTTACGAGTTCCAGACAGCCTGGGCTACAGAGTGAGCTCAAGGCCAGCCTGAAATGCATAGGGAGACTATCTCAAAAACACAAAAAGACAAAAAAAAAAAAAAACCAAAACAAAATCTGAAAACATGTTATTGTCTCACTAGTATGAGAATCTGAAAGAGTAAACATGATCTAAATGTCCAGTAGATAGTGTGTGATTGGGAAAAAACTATTCAAAAGAAAAAAAAAATTGTGAGGACAGAAAGGGGAAAGGAAGGAAGGAAAAAGGAAAAAATATTTAAACGCAAGACAGTCAGGATAGGTATACACCTGGTTCCTCTTGTCCACTGACAGGAAATTTTCTAGTCATTTTCTGGACAATGTTTCATGCCCGTATCTTATATTCTGAGCAACTACTGTGCATATAGTAATATGCGATGCATTCATTATTATTATTCTCCTACTGGCCTGCTTTTTTTTCCTACTACTATCCTGTTTTCAAACTCTGCTTCATTGTGATTTCTTACTTTTTTCTGTTTAAAATAATAATAGGGGGCCTGGGATTTAGCTCAATGGCACAGTGCATGCCAGGCAGGTACTTATTCGCTGAGCTAAATCCCCAGCGAGAAAACTGACACTTAAAAAGACTCATCGACTTAGCTAAGATCTTCCAGCTAGCAAACGACGGTGATGAGATTGACCCCAGAACCCACGTTTTTGGGCATGACACCCTGCTAAGCCACGGAGAAGACAGCCTCACGTGAGGCTGTCTGAGTCTGGAAAAGGTACAGAATCCTAGAGCCCCAGGAGCCCGACTCCAGCACACAGCACAGAGCCTGGGGGTGCTGATTATGTTTTCATCAGTTGCTGGGGACACACAGAGCTGGACAGCACCTCATCGGACTCGGTTCCCCTCTTCTGTTGTGACCGGATATGGCAGTGAGCCTGGAAGTGCCCCGCAGAGCCACCAAACCCAGAAATTTCTGGCAGACACACAGTATTCCTAAAGACCTAGTCCCTCCGCCCAGTGATGGTGAAACTTTTAAGACCGAGTACCCAAACTGCAACCCCAAACCCACTTATTTATTGCAAAATGCCAATGCTGCAATCAAATCTGAGTACTGAGGTTTTAGTTTAGAAAAAACAACTCATGCTTGGCTCGAGTGCCAACAGGGGGCTCTGTGTGCCCGCTACAGCGCGCGTGCCACAGGTTCACACCACCTCCTCGGCCCTCACCTTCTCAAACTCGCCAGCAGGGGCGGCACAGGTGGTGGGGTCCTGGCACACGCACATGGGGGTGTTGCTCTCATCCAGCTCGCACACCTTGCCGTGCTTGCAGTGGTGGTTCTGGCAGGGGTCTGTTGGGACACAGAGCAAAGGGTTGGTACACCCAGGGGTAGCATCACAGCCCAAGCTGGTCTAGACAACTTTGCACAGATGGTCCTTGGCTGCAGCCCCGATCTGGGGTCTGGGCATCCTCCCCATTCCCCTCCTGAGCCTAGCAATCAGCATCTAGGGGAACCGTTGGCTCAGTCTAGAGACAGAGTTCAATCCCAGGTCAGGACCAGGCACTTTTGCAGAGACAGATGCTCAGTCTGGGAACCCAAAATAGATGCCATCCAGATGGCTTCGCCAGGGGCTGAGTTCTCAGTGCTCAGCTGAGTCACTTCGTAAGGCATCTCTGGATTCTAAGTAGTCTTTCTAGAATGGCTTGGATGATTTCTTTTTCTCCTTTTTTGGTACCAGGAATTGAACTCAGGACCTTGCCCTTGCCAGGCAGGCGCTGCACACTGAGCTAAACCCCTGGCCCCTAGAATGGCTTAAAAGGTCGGCTGTTATAGCTCCAAGGAGCTGCAAGACCAACAAAACAAGACTCAAGTGCCCCTAGAGGAAAAGGAAGAGGAGCCCAGGGCCCACACTGGACAATAGTTTCCAGTAAACACCGGATGAGGTGGGTGTGGGTCAGGGAAGGACTCTGAATCTCCTCCTCCAACAGAAGGCTCTCCTGCCAAGCTCAGTGCAGACACCCATGAGACACCATTCCGTCCATACCCACAAGGGTTCCAGACCCTCAGGGACAGGGCTTGATCTAGCCATTACCTCCTGATGCCTTAATTCTGGATATTTTAAGTGTCCTTTATCGGGCACCCACTCTGCAGGCTCTGGGCCAAGAACTCCAATGCTTTGTCTTGTAACCCTCCAGAGATGCTGAGGATAATGTCTCACATTGGAGGTGGGAGACTGGTGCTCGAAGGAGCAGCACAGTGGTCCCGAGAAGCCTAGGTTCAAAGCTTGCAAAGCCGGTGCTCACAAAGCCTCGGGTACAGATGCCCCGGCTCAGCTCTTCCAGCCCGAGGCCCTAGGCCATCCCTACTTCTGGCACCATCTCTGCGGGCAGCGTTATGAGTTATGTCAGGCTTGATTTCCTCATAGCTTTATTTCCTTGGGCTGAGTACAAATCAGACAGGCCAGTGAGTGTGAAAGCTCCTGACCTCTGGCCTCCGAGATTCACTGGGACAGAGGCCGTGGGAGAGCTCAGCGACCAGACGTGACTGGAGGCCCCCAGTGGGAATGTGAAACCCAATTGCAGAATCAGGGCAAAGAGCTGCGGGGGGAGGGGGGCACATCCAGCTGGGGAACTTCCTTCCGGGGCATTCACAGCTCGGATGCACTGCTATAAATAGATCTTTCCAGATTCCAGAAACTGCGCGCCAGAGCGCACTCCCCACCTCCGGGTCAAAGCAGTCTCTCCCGCAGCCGCTGAGGTCCCCACCCTGCCCCTCCCTGGCAGGAATCTCCCAGAGGCCTCTGTCAGGCCCCAGGCCCAGGCAGCCAGGGGCAGCCTGGAGGTGCCCAGTCACAGCGGAGGGACCTACTTTCAGCCACCACATCCTCTACGGTTTCCTCAGCCTCTTCAAATTCTCCGACTTCTACCTGGACAGGGTTGGTACCCACGGGCACCTGAAACAGAAGAAAAGGAATGAGTCAAATGCTCCCCATCCGTGTCCCAAACCCATAGAGGGGCCCGAGGGAGAGGGGGTCACATGAAAGTTCAGGAACACGTAAGGAGCAGGGATGGCCAGGTGGAAATGTGGCTGAGGTCCTGATCTCAGCACAAAGGCCAGGGCCGGGGATTTAGATTCCATCTTATATTTAGTATTACTTTAGTCATGTATGAAGTTAGTTTGTTTTTGTTCTTTTTTTTTTTTTTTTTTTTTTTTTTGTCTTTTTGAGACAGCATCTCGCTGTGCAGTTCAGGCTGCGTCTTGAGCTCACTTTGTAACCCAGACTGGTCTTGAACTCAAAACAATCCTCCTACCTCCGCCTCCTGAGTGCTGGGATTACAGGTGTGAGCCACCACATTTTGCATTAATTTGGTATTAATCTTATAGTAAGCATTATCAGTGCACTGGAATTAATTACGTTGTGATGCCTCGCAATCCACCAAAGGTCACAGGGCAAGAAGGGGTGCCCATGGCAGGCGTGGTGGTGCCCCTGTAACTCCAGCACTCTGAGGAGCTGAAGCAGGAGGATCGCAGGTCTGAGCCCCATCTGGGTGACTTAGTGAAACCCTGTCTCAAAGTAAGAAAGCATTTGAAAAGGGCTGGGCACACAACTCAGGGTGAAGGCCCTGCCTGGGCTCAATCCCTAGTAGTGAAAAATAGAAAACTCCAAGCCTTCTACCCCTGCTGAGCAACCTGAGCAGACCGCTTCTCATCTGTTTTATGTAAGGAGAGACTAGGGGTGATCTTGAGTGAAAAACTAAAGGATTTGGAAAGGGTGCCTCTCAAAGGCAGGCTCCTGGGGAAGGCCTGAGGGTGACCCGTCCAGCACCATGTTGAGATGTGGGGGTGCCCAGGGTGTGCTGGCACACACTCCATGCCAGCATGAGACCCATGGGACCTGCCCGGACTGCCCGGGGAAGGGACTGGGGTTCCGCCATGCATGCCACATACCTCTGACACCTCAGCCACGGTTTCCTCCACCACCTCTGTCTCATCAGGCAGGGCTTCCTGCTGCTGCAGGAAGAGAGAGCAGGGTCAGAGAGCTCAGGGCCCGGGCCAGCTTCACCTTGGAAACAGTCCTGAGCGAGCTGGGGGAGCTGGGGAGCCGCTCGATGGAAACTCCCAAGGCTGTGTATCGGGGACCCCGTGCTGGGGACTGGGCCACGGAGAAGCCAGACAATCGGGAGGGAGCAGCATATGGGGACCCCGTGCTGGGGACTGGGCCACGGAGAAGCCAGACAATTGGGAGCAGCTCCTTTTTTGCATAGCGGATGCGTATTTTGTATTTCATGCACTTTACACAGGCATTCTCTCTCACCATGAAAACCGGCACAGTTTCATTCAGATAGCAGCGTCTCGGAGCCCCCTGGGGCTGCCCTTTTCTAGTTCTGTCTGAGGTCTTTGATGTCATAATCTATGCCTGCTTCTCCAGCCTATCAAAGGTTTAGCTTGCAAAGCATTCCTGCTGCATCGAACGCCTACAGAGCCTGAAAACCACCGCTTTCAGATAACTCCCCTGGTTGAACAGATAGGAAACCTGACAGCCAGAGGGGACGAACAGTGTGAATTTTAAAGATGTCAGATCCTCCCTCGGTGTGCTAGTACTATCATTACTATTAGGCAATCCCTTCCTGCCATGTCCACTTAGAGCAGGTTTCAGCCATCTGAAGGAGGAGGCGAGACAGCCTATAATTTTGAGGCCTCTGGTTGGCTCTGGGGCTGCTTCTAAAAGCAATGCCAAACTTGCCAAATCTTTAGTCTAAACCTGCTAGTCTGAGCAAGACATCCTGGGTCTGCCATCCACCTCCCGGTAAGAGGAGGAGGGAATTCCAGGTTGAAAGAAATACTCTTTGTGCCGTGCCTATCCTTTTCCTCCTCCTCCTCCTCTTCCTCTTTAGTCGCCCACTCCTGTCCTGCTGCAGGCCACCCTGGGAGTGACTGTCCCTAGTCAGGGTGTCTGTCCCACCCTCCCCTAGCCAAGAAGCAGGGCTAGGATTTATGCCGAGCCAGCCTGGCCCTCCCTCATTTTTTTTAAATCTTCTTGGCTCATTCTCTCAAGATGTGAAAACTGCGGAAGCTGATTCCCTTAGACAGCAGCATCTCAGAGCCTGTGCACTTGCCGTTGCCTCCGAGCCCAGAGCGGCCCCTCTGCGGTCCTCCCAAAGCTTCTGCTGTTATGTTCTGTGCCTACACCGCTGCTCTGCTGCCTGAGGTGTCAGACTAGAGTCTGTTGCTTGCAAATGCAATCACGCCACTGATTCTGAGCCTAACGCATCCTCTCCGTGGGACTTGGTTCCCTTCTGGTGCTTTCCCCACCAGCACTGCCCCCGCCCATCCCCACTGCTTGATTTGCTCATGAGACCAAGAGGCCACTGCCCAGTCCACTGCTGGGAGGCTGGACAGCTACAAAGTTCATTTCACAGCTTCTCTGGAACTTTGACCCAGGGTACCTTATTCCAAGTTTTTTTCTGCTCTTCTTGGCTTCATTGAAAACTGATGAATTTTTGAAAAAGTGAAAGTAACTTGAGATGAGGAAGTCCCCGTCCCCTCCCAGCACCTGGACACACTCAGGAGGCCTAGACCTGGCTAAGAAGGCGGGATCTTCAGGTACTTACAGGGGCTGCGAAGGCCCTCCCAGCGAGGCAAAGGACGAAGAAGATCCAGGCCCTCATGGTGCTGGGAACCCTGCAGGGCGGAGACAGGCAGAGGTGAGGGAGGCGTCCCTGTGCAGTTCCTCCGGAGCGCCTGAGCCTTCCAAGCTGCTCGGAGTCGGCGCTTGTTCAGTCCCGGGCAGGGAGAGGAGAGGAAGTCGGTTCCACTCAGTATGGGCTCAGTCCTGACTATATAAGGAGAAAGTCTGGGCTCGGTGCTGGCTGTGTTTAAACCTCAGGTGCTCATCTGTCCTGGTTAACACAGAGAGCTGCCCTCTGGCTCAGCAGTGCCGCAGGAACTGTATCCAGCTGCAACCCAGTGAAGCCCGTATTGTTTTCCTTGTGTTCATTTTTACAGTTTCCTTCTATTTATGACAAGGTACACAGTTTTCCATTTATGGCAACAACATAAGTCTTTTTTGTGTCTTCCTTTTTCCTTTTGTGGAGCCTGGATTGAACCCAGGACATTCTCACCGAGCTACCTCCCCAGCCCTGCCACCTTCTTAAATTTTGAGCCAGGGTTTCATTAAGTCACTAAATCGACCAGATTGGGTTCCAACTTGCAATCCTCCTACCCTTGCCTCCCTGAGTAACGCAATGTGCCACCAATCCTGGATTAAGTCTTCTTTCTAAATCCATTTATTTAGGTTTTTAAAAAGCAATTCAACAAAAGCAATGGGCTAATTCATCAAATTTGGTCGATGCTTAATGAAGGGCTCTTCAATCCCTCGTGTGCAAATATTATTTTTTCCTACTCCCTAACGCTCCTCCTCCTCCTCTCCCTCCCCTTCCCCCCTGCCCCCCCCACCCCACCCTGGACTGCACAGGGAGAAGTCAATCATCAAGGCCTCTCAGCAGTTTGAGACCATGAGATTCACACTCCCACAACAGCCTCAGGATGTGACCCACGGAAACTTGAGGGTGATGGCTTCTTTCTCCATTCTACCCAGAAAGGACAGCACTTCTTTGGGTCCTCCAAACAAACTCTCCGAATACTTCTACAAGTTGCACAGAGGTGATTAGCTGAAATCTAGAAAGTTCCCCCTGCCTGCTCTGGTCACTGCTAAGACCTTAGCTCTAGATTCTAATACTCATGACAATAAGGGATCTTGGAACAGAATCCCCACTGATGACTCAGTACCAAAATGCCGTCCCTACTTGAGGAATTGTGGTGGGGACATGTCACTTCCTATGTTAACACACCGACTTTCCATTTCCCAAGGGCTTTTACAGTGTTCTTTCTTACATGGATCCAAATATGCCTCTCAAACTTCTGGTCTACCCTGCCTCCTTCTTCAGCCAAGAGAACAAGCCTGCTCCTCCTGCCCCTGCATTTTTTTCGAGGACAGCAGTCACCACCTCTTTTCTCCTTAATCCCCCAAATTTCCACACAAGGCTCATCCAGTTCCTTCCAGGTCTTCTCAAGTAGCCAAGCACAGTGGTGGGAGGGACCCTGACATCAAGGAATTTAATGCCAGGGGCTCTTGTTAACCTCATTACTATGAATAAGTCTTATGCATTGGTTCCCCATCACTTGAGACGTCAGACTTGGTGACATCAGAGGTGGCCGACTGGGTCCTGAAAATGCCGTCACATCACAGGCAAGGTCGGGGTGCAGCACAGCTGGAAAGCGCATGCTTTGCGAGTGTAGGACCCTAGGTTCAATTCCCAGCACCAAAACACAAAGCAAATGTCACAGGAACATGCTGGTCTTGGTACATGTCCCCTCCCTGGGGTCCCCCATCTTCCCTTGGATTTGGGCAGCACGAGCAGGCTGCACTAATGGAGCTTTACTGGGGGTTCACAGAGGCACAAGACCTCAGCCCCTCCTTGATGGAGTGTGAGGGAACCAAAACCCACAGGAATTTAGAGGAACTGCCGTGCGAGCCTGGCTTTGCTTCTCAATGGCCTCGAGCCCCGGAGGAGCCCAGGCAGGTTCTGGAACGTTCTCCTCCGTACACAGTCATACACTTGTCCCTCTCCAGACTCAAGTGGAAAAGTCTCCCTCTTGCTTCTCCATTTGGAAGACACAAGCAAAGCAACGGCTGCAGGTGGCTCTGGACCAAAGGAACCCAAGAGAATCCATCAATGGGGGACTTGTCTGAGGCTGTCTGAAGGTGAAGGATCTAAGAGAAACTGGCGGAGAGGGGAGGAAAGTCCCCTGTCTGGGATACGGGGACAGAGATGTCACCTCCGTGAAGGAAAAGCCTGGGGAGAACTGGAAAGGGAACAAGCTTCAGGCTATGGAGCTGGAAACACCAAGATCCCCCAGTCCGTGTCCCTCATCTGGGCAGGCAAAGTCCCTGCGCTCCACGGCCAGCAAGGTTCAGTGGGCCACGATGGCTGTCCTGTCCTCCTGTTCCCAGCTGCACAGCACGCCTCCTGTGCAGCGCACCATCTCTGGGGAGTTGCAGTGTCCTGCAGTTTCTAGACTCACATGCACTGTCTTAACCTTTGGAGCCATGAGTCAGCGCAGGGAGGCAGGCAGGGTCCTTGTAAAGGTCTCAGTCCCACGCTCCTATGAGGAGTGTAAGGCTGGAGTGGAAGACCTGCCCTTAGCCCTGGGGCCCCCCACTCAGACACAGGGGAGGGGGAAAGCGAGAGAGGCAGAGAGGGAGCCAGAGACTGATAAGGACAGGACAGGACGCCAGGATCTTAGGGCGGAGCTGCCCCACCCATTCAGACCCGGAACTCAGACACCAGGCCAGCGGCCAGGGAGGCAGCCAGGCTGTCCTGGATAGTCCCAGCTGGTCCCTGCATAGCCTCGAGACACCTCTCTGATGTTCTCCACAACACCACCAGCCAGAGCGGTGCACCAACAAGTCAGAGCCCAGGGTGAAAATTTCCTCTGTGGTGTCACATTGCATGGCAATGCAGATATTTATTCTCTCCAGTGTGGCTTCATAATTCTGCAGCCCACCGAGGTCCCACGGTACAGATGAGAAGACAGAGCTTAGAGAGGAAAGAGGCTGCGGGCTGACAGCCAGTGGCCCCCATGCCAGAGTGGCCCAGCTTGGCTGAGGACCTGGCATCCCCGGCCTGTCCTCTACCCCACAGCGCTCCCTCCCAGGTGGTCACCTGAATGGAGGGAGCTCAGCTGCCTGAATCTGCTCCATGGTGCTAGAGGGAAATGCCCCGGAGGGGTGTTTCCTTTGGCTCTGTGGTCACTACATGCAGGCGTCCTCGCCCCCTCCGCCTCCAGTTCCGTACGTCCAGTGCTTCCCTTTTGCCTCTTTATTTGCTCTGGAGACTGCTGAAAACCTGTCCTTGGCTGCCAGCAGGACCCGAGGCCGAGGTCACTCCTCACCCTTTGGAAGGGCTCTGGGGATGGAAAAGTACAGCCAGGCTCTTGAAACATAAAGGGCCTCCTTTGGGCTCTCCCTGGACATTGAAAAGTAGCTGAATTCTCAGAATCACAGAATTCAAGACCACGGGACTCAGAATCGTAAACTCTCAGAGGTGAAGCACAGAATCTGACTTACCATTGTTAAATCTAATTTGAGTAGAAAGTGTTTACGGAGCAGTGCAATCCCAAGGAATTCTCAGTGATGATGAAAATATTCTACATCTACTTTGTCCAATACGGCAGCTCCTGGCTACCACTACTGCACAGAATGTTTAACGGTTTCATTTTAATTCATTTAAAGCCACAGAGACACCCATGGCTACTGGCTCCCACGGTAGACAGATGGTTATAGAGACAGTGTAGCATAGCGGGAAGCTCATGGGGCCAGAAACCAGAATGCATGGATTCAGATCCCGTCTCTGTCACTTTCTGTGCCCTTCAGAATTCAACTTTGCCTCTGTGGGCCTCAATTGGTTCCTCCATCTGTAAAAAGGGAAGAACAACATAGCCACCTCGAGAAGCTCACAGGTGATTTACGGGAGAGAATATAAGGTAAGAAATACTGTTAGGAAGAACATCTTAGAACCCAGACACCCCAGAGTGCCCATCGCCTTCAGGAATCCAGAGCAGAAATCCCAGCTTTCTGTCTGCAGGCCCAGGGGAGAGGGTGTTGGGGTGGAACAAAGGAGACTTCGTCCTGTCAGCCTGGGGGATTCGAGCCAGCCCAGCCGGACTCAACCTCCCTGGCTGCAGTGATGAAAGCCAGGCCCAAGGCTGGCTTCTCGCTAAGGTGCTGACGCAAGTCAAGCATCTCCCTCCCACTGTTTGGCTTGAAACAAGGATCCAAAAATCACACATTGCGGTAAACAAGCCCAGAGGGAGGAAAACAAGGCTGAAGGCAGACGTGTGCCAGGCCCAGCAGGAGCCAGGGCCAGTGGGAGGTGGAGGGGTTTCAGTGAGGTCAGGTCCAGCCAGTGTGGCCCATGCGACAACACTTGGCAGTCCTGCTCGTGCTCCAGGATGACACACAGGCTGTGGAAATCAGGGGTCCTGAGCCCCAGGCACTGTATAAACTCCCTGCTCTCACTACAAGTCCCCTGGCTGCCTGTACGACGACGGGGAAGCTGTTTACAGTTCTGAGTTAGGCGCAGCAGAGAAGCCTCCCCTAAATGAAGTCTTCTGCAGACGCCCACCACTTCAGATGGCTGAAACCTGCATTTGTTTAAACATGGGAATGGGACGTTCCCATGAACGTTCCCCCCACCCGGAGTGGGGGGCTGTACCTCTCTGTAATTCTAGCACTCAGGAGCCTGAGGAGGGAGGACTGCTGTGAGTTCAAGGCCAGCCTGCCTTACATAGTGATACCCTGTGTCAAAACAAACATCCCCAAAACAAAACCACACAAATAAAAGTGTACCAGGGTGGAGCTGAGCAGAGGAGTCCTAGGTACTCGGAGGGCGAGGCACCTCGGAACACCTCTAAGCTCTCCTAGAAACAGCTGGAAAGCCAGCCAAGGTCGCCCCTAAGGTTCTTTTCAACTCAGGATATCGCTCCCAACTGGCCTCAAGCCACTGACCCTCCTGCCTCAGGCTTCTGTGTGCTGGGCTTGCAGACACCTCAGATTTAGGAGTCAACTCAGGCAGAAGCCGCCTGGACTCCTGGTTTCACTTCTAACACTTTATTTCTTGTTGGGGAAGTGGAGACGCTAAGGGAAGCTGTGTGGATGCGAAAGCCTAGGACTGGAGCGGTTCTGGGCCGACTTGGAGGCGGCTCCTGAATCTGAGATGCCCTAAACTCTCCCGAGATGCCACGTCTCACTGCCGCTATCTGGGTGCAGGGCAGGGCGGCAGACATCCTCCTCGGCGCCCCCTAGGAGGCCAACAGCGCATTGGGTTGACCACAAATGGAGGGAAAGAGAAATTACAGAGTCCGGGTTGTCCAATGGGACAAACCCTCAGAGATCCCAAACCACCAAACACGTGGTGCCAGTGCCTCCACTTCCCCCACCTTTGCACATGTGGCAAACATTAGCCCGTCACGTGACCATCACCCCCAAAGTCTGGAGCTGCATCAGAATTCCCAACGCCCTTCCTCTGTCAATGACTTCCAATGTGTTGGCACTGCCAGGCCGTAGGGAAGGGCTCTGCCACGTCTATTATTTTAGAGATAATGAACTTGAGGCTCCGAGAGGGAAAACAACTCAATCCAGGTCGTGTAACAAGCTGGTGTCTGAACCAAACTTCAGAAGTCTCTATGTGTTTGCCTTGCTTTGCTTTTGTTACCCACTAAGTCTGGATCCTAACGCCGCGCCTGGCACGCCGTGGCCCAGGTGGATTCCTAAGGAAGCAGGTTAATACCAAGTTTCTGAACAGACCAGTCTGGAGAGAGCCGCGGCCTCCGTTCCTATTTTCCCTACCGACATGTAGCTTGACCTTTGAGGGCAGGCAGAGCTGCTGTGCCCAGAAAGACTTGCCCTGGGGGAGGAGGAGGCCGTTTTCCTGAATGAGTCCATCAAGTCACTGCATGCTGGCCGGGCCCTGTGCAGCTCAGCTGGCTCGGGCGTCACAGGTGGGGGCGGGAGGGAGCGGTAGCTTCCGTAGGGCCCGGGCTTGGCAAGGAGCTCCGTGCAGGCCTTTTCTTCTTTCCAGCAAAGGAGCAGCCACTTATTAGCAAAGCCCGTGGGGCCTGGGGGCCTCACGACACTACCACTGCTGTGTGGGTGGGACACACTGCTGAGGCCAGCTAAGGGGAAAGCACGAGCTGCTGATTGCTTGTTATCCCCAGGCCTTGGCCTGCTAGATGGCGTACCCCACCCAAGCTGGAGCCAGAGTGGGGGTGAACATCTGGATGGTTCCAAACATCTGGAGGTACTATGGCTCAGTCCCAGCTTGCTGGGTGACTTCCAGTGAGCCCTTTCCCCTCCCTGAGCTTCAATTTCTCTGCCTCTGAAATTCAGGGCCATGGGGCTGGGGGGATGGGTTATGTGTGTCATGTGGCTGTGTCTGTCATGATCCTTATTCTGTTTGTGCGTGTGTTTGCACACCCGATGGTGTCTGTGTTAAGTACACGTGTCCTGACTCAGCATCTGTCTGCTTCGGCCTGTGAGAAATGAGGGTTACAGGTTTCACATGCATGAAGATGTATGTGGCGGATGTGTCTGCGTGTGCAGGCACTGGGTGTCACTGTGTCTCCTAGAGTTCACCCGAGTTTATTTTTAGCCATGCTAGTGGCTGCCAATTGGTGCCATCGATGTTTATCCCCAGGGTCCCCGGGGTTGTGTCTGCCCCTGTCGGTCCCTGCACCCTCACAGATCCACCCAAAGGACCGCAAACCAAATGCTTTCCTTCCCTCTGTTAACTTTCCTATTTATAACTTGTTTTTGGAAGAAGGTCACTGTCCTGAAGGGCAAGCCACAGCTCTGCTGTACGCAGTGGAGTCTTATAGGTGAATACAGATCACGGCGTGGTGAGCAGGCACCCGAGAGCTGCCCCACAGCCCTTCCCAGCTTTGTTGCCTTTTGCCACAGATTGGGGGGGAGGGGGGGTTGACCAGAGGTGGAGGCCATTCCTTCCAAAGAAAGCAGTTTCCAGGTTTAGGATCAGAAGCCTGAGCGGCTGGAAGGGGGTCTGGAGACCACAAGCTCTGATCTTCCATTTAACAGATGGGGAAACTGAGCCCAGAGAAGAGTAGCACCTTTGCCAAGATCACACACTGAGTTAAAACCCACTTCTATTTATACCTGTAGCCAAAATGCTTTCTACGGAGCTGGGTGTGGTGGTGCAGGCCTGTAATCCCAGCACTTGGGAGGCTGAGGCAGGAGGATCAGGATCCTTGCAAGTTCAAGACCAGCCTGGGCTACAAAGTGAGCTCAGGGCCTGTCTCAAAAAGATGAGGGGGGTGCAGTTCTTCCTACGGGACACTAGGGAGAAATACACAAGGAGTTCCCCAAATCAAAATGAATTTAAACCAGATATGGTGATGCATGCTTGTACTCCCAGCTGGAGGCTGAGGCAGGAGGGTCACTTTGAGTTGAGGGCCAGCCTGGGCTACACAGTGAGTTCAAGGCAAGCCTTAACTATATAGGAGACCCTGCCTCCAACCAAAAAAAAAGGACTCGAACGATGTAATGTTGAAGAGACACGCTTGTCAGGGCTGTCAATGATGAGCAGTCGAATATAACACACAGAATGATGCAGCTATCAGAGGGAAAAGCACAGAGTGATTTCACCAGCTCTTCGGATGCCGTGACTCAATTAGTTCTAACTGCACCACCTCGGAGAGAAGCACTCACTGGCTTTGTAAGTGGTGTGCGGTCCACCATCTCACATCCACGCCCTGTTTTGAGAGGGCCCCTGGCTGCTCAGAGCAGACCCCAAAACTGGAGCTCAGAAAAGAGAGCGAATAAAGTTTAAGGTCAGATGGCACATTTCCAATAGCCAGAACAAAAGGTGACGTCTTGGGGCCTAGAATATGTCGCTGTGGTTGTATCTGGGGGCTGGAGCGGGCTGTTCATTTCGAGTCTGGCTCTCTCCCCCTCCCCACCAGCGGGGCAGAGACCCTGAAAAAGAGGTTACCGTGGCAACTCGCATTCCTGGCCCAGTGAGTCACGGCCGGGAAGAGCGCTGGAGGGCGGGGCTCGGAGGAAGTTTCCGAGGCTGATCCCTTCTGCGCGCCTCCTTCACCCCTCCCCCGCCAAGCCCGCTGGGCTCTGTCGATGTGGCAGCTGATGGCCTCCGGTTACCTCTCCCCCAGCCGCTCCCGAGGGACAAAAGCGTCCCACCCTGAGACTCTACCTCCTGCAAATACAGATTTGCTTCCCTTCCCCACTCTGAAGCCCACAGCATGCCCTCTGGTCCCTTGTGGGAGAGAGGCAGCCCTCTTGGAAATATCTTCAGCCTGAAAGCAGTGTACGTCTCTGTTTGTGTGTCTGTCTGACTCTCTCCACGATGCACACAGCTGGAAGGAATCTGTAGACACCTTGAAGCCCACTTAAAGGCCGTCTGAGGACAGTTAACCTTCCTTGAAACAGTTTGAGAGGACCCCAGGGACCCCAAAGGCTAGTCCTGTTACTTTACAGACAGGGAAGCCAAATCCAGGGGCGTGGCTGCCTCAGATCACCCTGAACACAGCCGGTCCTCCTGCTCAAGGTCTGCTTCTGGGTCCCCAGCGGGGCAGGAGTGTGACCCTGGAGAGCCACAGCTCCAGTGTTGTCTCTAATGCAAGAAGGGTCCTTCTTCAAGAAAATGCACACCCTTGCTTCTCTTTTTCCCATTTTGGGGAGACTCAGCTCAGCACCCCCTTTCTCTGAGTGTCTTTAGGACACAGATCCAGTCAACAACTCAGAGGGTGGCGAAGGGCTGGGGGAGAGGGTGTACAGAGAGGGCAAACCCCGAGCTAACACCGGCCAGGCTGGACCTACTCCTGTGTAGAGACTGCACTTCTTAAAACAGGGGTGTGCAAGGGTGCCCACGGGTGCCCCATAGGGGCTCCACTTTACTTTCCACAGTCCCCTTCCTGCACCCCCCCGCACACCCACCCTCCCTGCGCTCTCAGATCCATACTCTGCAAAGGCCGGTAAGTTCTGTGTGGCCTGTTCCAGGGAACCCTGGGCGGGGGCTGTGGGCACCCCCAAAACCTGGCTGTGCCCCCCACCCCAGCAACTGCCCACATGGAGAAGCAGGATGGACAGCAGGAGGGGAACAAGGGAAAAGCCTCACTTTTGCCTTTTAGGCCCTGTCTCAAAAAATCAAAACCTGGCCTTTCGGGATCATCATTTATGCAGTCACTTTATAAAACAGCGGCCCTGACTCAGAACCAAGTCCAGGAGGTCTGTTCTCTCGGAACAGGGCACAGAACAGTGCCGACTGCCAGCCAGGGGGGCCAGTGCCTATGGCAACTGCGACCGGATCAGATTCCCAGGAGGGGAGGAGGCGGCCACATTCCCAAAGCGGGCAAAGAGGGGAAGAGAGACAGAGACAGAGACAGTGAGACATGTCCTGCAGACCTAAAAGGGGTCCCACTGACTCGGCCGCCTGAAGAGCAACAGGTGACAGACCCACTGGCCAGGACCGAGTCCTTAATTTAAGCAAAGGGCCCTGAGCGGATGGAGATGAGCTCCCTGCCTCTCTGGAGATGCAGGCTCTGCTGGGGACCGGCCGGGTGGCCTCGGTACCTACCTTGGAGGCAGGCGGCAGCAGAGCGTGTCCAGGCGTCTGGTGGGGCGCAGGAATGTGAGGGGTTTAGACACAGGCAGCAGGAAGCCACTCAGAGCTCTGGGCTGGGTCTGTCTCCCCCTCCAGCCGCAGCCCCTCCCCTGTCTCCTCCTTCCCCGGGCTGGCCTCCCCCTCTCCCAGAGCCCAAGATATCCCTGTCTCTCTCTTTCCTCCTCTCCCTGTGGTGGGCTGTCCTGAGCAGACACCCAAGGCCGCCTGCCTGGACTTACCAGTGCCAGGGCTGGAATTGCCCGGCACAGCTCCCTCCTACTCCTCCTCCTCCTCCTCCTCCCCGTTTGGGGGCCCTGAGTCCTGAGCAGGCATGATTCCCTCAGGTCCCCAGCAATCCTGGCCTGTCCTCCCTCCCATGGGGCAATGCTGAGCAGGCTGTAGCAATGGAGGAGGGGTGTGTGGGGGACAGACAGAACCAGCCTGTGAGATCCTCCTGGCGATTTGGGAGACAGTCTCTAACTCCAGTTAGGCACAGCAGGGATTAAACTTCCAGATAAGGCTGCTGATAATTAGAGCAGCAACACTGCCCCAGGTTTCCTGGGGACTCTAATCTTCATAGCAAACCCTTGACGCAGGTTTCACAATTAAGCCCTTTTCTTTCATGGAGGGTCAGTAGTTTGCCTAACAGGACTGGCCAAAAGTGATACTAAAGGAGTCAGTTCTACATTTGAATTAGGTTCTTTCTTGTTTTTTGTTTTGTTTTGTTGTTTTGTTTTTGAGACAAGCTCTCCCTCGGAAATCTAGGCCAGTCCTGAATTCACTGTGTAAACCAAACTGGTCTCAAACTCGAGACTCTCCTTCCTCGGCCACCCAAGTGCTAGGATTACAAGTGTGTGCCGTCCCGCCCAGCCTGGTTTAGAACTCTCAGTGCAGCAGGTCTTGGCTATTTACTGCAAGCCTGCCCCTTTGGGAGGTACAAGGCTTAATAGCCTGGTTCTTGTCCTCAGGAAGCTTTGGATCTTGCTGATCGGACCCGCGTTAGGCACACAGCCACATGCACGAGAGAGGTACAGACTTGAAGCCTTCTCCTAGAGGTTCAGACTGGGGGAGGCGTCTTAGAAAAGATGGACCTTGACAGGACATGGTGGAGAACACCTGCGATCCCAGCACTTGGGAGACCAAATTTGAGGTTACACAGTAAGTTCAAGGCCAGTGTGAATTACATAGCAAGACTTTGCCTCAAAAAACCAAGGCTTAAGACAAAGAGGCAGGCCTTGAGCATAGATTGGGTTTCAATGACACGAGAAGCGAAAAGGCTGAGAGAGAGCATCCTCAGCATGAGCTTCTGCACGCTGTGCCTTGCCCTTCCTGCCGCCCTCTCCCCTACGGCTCTGCTCCAGCCACACCAGCTTCTTCTCAAGCCTCAGCTGCTCAGAGCTTTCCTACCCCGCCCAGGGTCTGCCCTTACCCTCACCTCTGCCAGAGACCCTTTGCCTTCTGAATCCCCTGCCTGGACCATTGTTGTTCAGGGTTCTGTTCTAATGTCTCCTCCTCAGGAAGACCCCCTTGGTGCCCCAGTGTGAGCTCCTCCTTGCCTCTCGCACTGGTGGCTGGCAGGGCTCACGCCCTTCCGCTGCCCCCACTTCCTTACTGTGCTGTCACAGTCAGAAGCCGCCTGTGTCCCCTGCCACAGAGGCCGTACATGTCTTTTTCCCTGCCATGTTCCGAGGATGTCGAGCAGTGTCCTGCATGAGGGTGACCACCAGTCAGTTCTCTTTCCAATAAGTGAATGCACTTCAGACTACTCATCAGATAACAGAGATAAGAGAGGGATCAGATAAGAGAGGGATTTTCTCTTCCCAGATTCCAGTCTGGAATAACTCCCAGCACTGGGCTTTAAGAGACCCTCAAACCTATCCACGCATCCTTTTCTTGGCCTTGGATCACGCAAGAACCTTCGGTGGATGGATACAGGGTGTCGGTGAGCTCCATAGATAGGCGTTTTGCCCTTTGGACAGATGTTTATTTATGTGGGATTGGTTGCTATAGCTCCCAGGTCTTGGGGGTCTAAAACGAACTAAGCTTTGTGTTTTTCTTCACAAACTAACATGCCGGCACTCTGATGAGGATAAGTCAAAGGGAAAATTCTGGTCAGGATTCCCGAGTGGACTTTGGTTCAGGAATTGGGAAGCTGGCCAGGGCTGGACTCAAGCTCTGGGGCAGAGATGCCTGTAGGGGCCACTCACAGGCGCCCGAGGGGACACCCTGCACCAGAATTCCTCAGAGAAGGAAAACTGGGTAGCCTCTGTGTCTAAGACAAGAGTGTGCAGGGAAGCAGGAGCCTCTGCGGCTGGGGGACCAAGGCTGGTCCTCCTTGCACCACCCAGGCCTTACAGGAAGGGAGAGAAGCATCATGGGCCCAGGTGTCCTCCAACCAGCTATGGAGTCAAGGTGACTCTGGGCTCATCCTTCGCTTGTCTGAGTTTCCATCGGTAAAACAGATTGGACAATTGAACAGTGAAACCAACAGCCAGCATTTGGTAAACTCACTTTCCACCACGCACTGAGCTAAGCTCTTTGTACAGATTTGCTAATTAACCCATAGGAAGCAGAGATTATTCTCTCTGTTGTATACCCATGGACAATGGACTTCAGATCAATAATTTGCCCCAGCACATGGCAAATCAAGGACTCAAATGGAGGTTTGAATGAGTTGCATACATACAGCAGCTCCCCACAAAGAACTAATTACTACAAACTGTGAACAGGTACTAATAAAAATTAAATTTTTTGAAAATGCAGTTTTAAGTGGAGCATGGTACCTGTGCCTGTAATTCCAGCCATTATTAAGAGTTGCTCATGATCCCAAGTTCAAGGCCAGCCTAGGCAACTTCCTGAGACCCTTTCTCAGAAATGAAAATAAAACAAAGCTCTGAGGCTGTAGTTCAGGGTGGAGCACTTGCCTAGCATATGAAAGGCTGTGGGTTCAATACCCACCAACCAAAACAAAAAAGCCCATGTACAAGAATCGCCAGAGCTCAAGTGTTTGATCACCACATTCTATCTTCTCTTCAGTTCTCCTGTAGCTCTGCTGCTTGTGGACTTCAGAGCATGAAGCCTCTTTACCCCTCAACATGTTACACATACCTTATTCGATCAAGAGCTTTCTTATTATAAGTAAAATGTTGTCTTAGTTACTTTTCTTTGCTGGGACAAAATACTCCACACCCAAAATTAACAAGGGCAAAGTTTATTTAGCTCAAGTTTGTGGAGGTTTCAGTCCATAATCAGCTGGCTCCAATGCAGGGTGGCACATGGCACAGGGGCAACACTTCAAAGTGGCAGAAGACAGAAAAGGTAACAAGCGCAAAAGAGAAAAAGCAAGTCTCCTTCACTGCCTTATATTGTATGCAGGCAACCTGCCCTAGGGCTGGTGTAGCATTCAGACCATCTTTACACCTCCTCTTGCACAGGCTCAGGATGGTTAGGAAGTGAGGATGCTGGCCCGGCTGAGTTGCTTAGCTAAACTTCTAAACTTCTCAAATTGACACAATGAACAGCATTCTACCAGGGACACCTCCTCTACACTCTAAGATGCGGAACTGCTGAGTGACTTAGTTAAGCTTCTAGATTTCTCAGGTTGATGCAATGTATCAACCATTACAAATGCAGCTGTTCTCAAATCTCACACTTGCTGCAGGGAGCTGTTTGGCTTTGTCTACACTCGAGGTTGCTTAGTTACTGCTGTTGGTTCGCTTGCTTCCAGATCGAGTTGGGACTTCCGTGTAAAATCTTATTTTTAGTTCCTTCTCTGGCCATGCTTTCCTGGATTCTTTGCTGGTATGATTATACTTACAATAAAACCAGCATGTAAAGAGGATCAGAATAAATCCTCCCACCCCAGTATCATTTGCTGTCTAATTCTACTAGACAGGAATAAATCAAAGCTAAGCCACAGCAGATACGGATGAACCATATCATATCAAATCCTAAGCCTAGGCAACGCCGGTAACACCTACAACCACCAGGAGCTTGAAGAGCTCCCTTCTGCTTGCCGAGTTCTGCTACAGCGCAGGCGGATGGCTGGTTCCCTTCAGCCAGCCCTGCTGCCCCCACACAGCCACTCGGCAGTCTCTCCTTAGTCAAGCTGGTTGCTGATCCAAATTAGACAGATCTGCTTTTTGATGGGTTCCGCAAGTATGAACCTGTCAGGCTCAGCGTGGCGCCTGCCCAACATGTGCTGGGCCCTAGAGTGACAGCAATTCCCTCCAATATTGACTTCCGCATTCTTCTTCCAAGCACTAATTTAACGTCCTGCTTCTCGCACATGCGCCAAATTCCCCCAATCAGATATCAATACGTCATTTTGCCCGCCCCTTCAAACCCCACCCCCATCAAACCTAATAAACGTTCTACAGCTTCTTTGTTTGCCTCAGAGGGATCTTGCTGTCTTCTGTAGCTCTTCTGTGCCTTTTCCTTTCTCTTCCTTTGTTTCTCTAGTAGGCCAAAAAAATCTAACACTTTATTTCGCAAAAGGAGGAATCAGTACCTTGGGGTCCCTGCAGTCTGCCCAACACCCCTTCCAGGCAGTCTAGCTGTCTTTTCTGGGCAATACCTGGAAACACTCATATTTCCTTCCTCACCAGCACTGAGGCCCTGCAGTGGGAAGCTAGCACGTGCAGAACATCAGCCACCTCATTCATCGTTCTGTCCACCCATATGCACCCCGAATCAGGCCAGGAACAGAGAATGAAGAGCAAAGACTTTCTGCTCTTTATATTTGAGAAGGGAAAGCAGACAAACTAGCTAAATCTCCGGCCCCTATAGCTCAGGGGCAGAGTTCACCTGCAGTTTGTGAGGCCCTGGATTCCACCCCCAGCATTGTAAAAAGAGAGCTGGGGATTTAGCTCAGCCGCATAGCTGCCTGGCAAGCATCAAGTCATGAATTCAATCCCCGGAACAAAAAAAAAAAAAAAAAAAAAAACACAAGAAACAAAACTATAAGAAAGAAAGAAGGGAAGAAGGAAGGAGAGAGACACACAGAGTTTCAGATGGAGATTCCCCCCTTCCTCCTCTTCGTCCTGTTCCTTTTTAGTCATGCCAAATACTTCCTCATTTGCCACCTCCATGAATGTCAGAGCAGTCTTGCAAAGGGGTTAGGTAGAGGTGAGAACCTGGAGTGCAGATATGGGAAACTGAGGCCTCAACCACTC